TCTCTCTCTCTCTCTCTCTCTCTCTCTCTCCCTCTCTCTCGCAGTCTCTCCTGTAATGTCTCTCCCCCTCTCCCCACTCTATCTCATCTGTCACCAGCCACTTCGACTCATTTGCTCTCGAACGTCCAACCGATGAAAGACACAAGGCCGCACAGGCATAATACCTGTGCATCACCTAGCAAGAGACATGGACCGTGTAGAACCGCGCACTGGGCCTAAGATAAAATATTGCTTGTTTCCCCTTTACCGACCGACTCGCCACAACGCCGCAACTCGACACATTTTATTGGCCAATTAAAACAAAACAAAAATTATTTCGTTTCGCAAAAAAAAAATCAAATTTGTTCTGCAAAAACATATACACAAAACAAAATATACAATAGACATACACACATCTTGTCAAAACAAAATAAAACAGATTTTTCACCTACCTACCTACTCGGTACCCTGAGAGGCGAGTAGGTAAAGGGGAAACAAACGATCTTTTAAGGGTGGCCCTACCTGTATTTGATGTCCAGCTGTTCGAGCAACCACTGAAATCGCGTGTAGTCCCACCGTCGCAGGTATTTAAGCAGCTTACGCCTGTGGTCAATCAACTCGTCCAGCCGATTCTTGTTAACCTTGTCCTGCAGAGAGAGAAATGCGAAAAAGTGAGAGGGAGAGAGGAGAGAGAGAGAGTGAGAGAGAGAGAGAGAGAGAGAGGAGCAGGGAGGGAAGGACAGAGGAGAGAGAGAGAGAGAGAGAGAGAGAGAGAGAGAGAGAGAGAGAGAGAGAGAGAGAGAGAGAGAGAGAGAGAGAGAGAGAGAGGAGAGAGCAAGAGTAGAGAGAGAGAGAGAGGAACAGGGAGGGAAGGACAGAGGAGAGAGAGAGAGAAAGAGAGAGAGAGAGAGAGGAGAGAGGAGAGAGAGAGAAGCAGGGAGGGAAGGACAGAGGAAAGAGAGAGAGAGAGAGAGAGAGAGAGAGAGAAAGAGAGGCAGACAAATAATAGAGAGATAGAGGGGCAGTGAAAGACAATGAGGGACAGTGGGAGATATTTGCATACAATGCAATCTCATGGTGTTATTACAAGAACAGTGCTCAAATATACCGGTGTTATATATGCATATGCAACTCGACTTCTCTGCATTTTCCCAGTGTATATATTATCACCATCTATTGAGAATGCAAATGTTAATCAATTGCAAACGTCCGTGCCGGTGTTCCGTGTAAAGTGACTTGCCTTCAGCGACTGTCGCATGTGGTCCTGAAGCTGACGAATCCAGGCCGTCTCCTTGGCAACTGGAAATGTTAATAACAATCCTTATGATGCTTCGCGTGAGCCAAGAATTAAAAACGATTCCGTTTCATTCACTAGTTTAGTTTCGCTGCTGCCCTAGGCATAATACTCTGATGAGATGTAAAACAAATGAAACTAGACAGAGGGCACTCACGAAGAGTGCATACCTCCGCCAGCAACATAGCTCGTAGCAGCCGCTCGTTGGTGCTGCTCGCTGACATGTACACGCTCGACTCGACGCGCTAATATCGATCGCGCCAACACACTAACACGCTAACACTGACTGGCCTGCTGCTGGCTAAACGAACGCACAAATGCACGAGACCGATCACATAACCTCCCCTCCAACTCCGTTGGGCGGAGGTAATAATTCAGCACTGGACTGCCAGAATAGAACAGTTAAATAACAGGCATAATCTTTGCCGACTAGGGGGTGGTGAGGATGACGACAATATGCCGTTCAGAGTTGACACTTACTCTGAGCTTCAATGGAACCAAAGTCGTCCGGATGTCGTTGTACCCTGGCTATCAGATCCTCCTTTCTCTCTGCCCATATGTCTTTCTGTGCAGCGATGAAAACAAACATTGCAGGGATGAAATTTCAGAGGACACGCTTCATGCACATGCGCCACCTGGCGTCACCTTCCAGCAACTCAAAATTATAGGTAGCGTAACTACATAAATCGTCGTTATATATGCGACTGTTGTATGTCACCAATGCAGATGTTGACTTGCTAATGCGAAGACCAGCTATGACACGAGAGGGACATAAGCCTCGTCTATAAACTAATAACGTAACGATACTTAAATGTCAGAACCGCTCAAGCATTGATCGGGTGGTACTCCAATAGACGCTGTGCATTTCTTAACTAGGGTTAAGCTCACCCGACACTGTTCTTAACCTGGGATACGAAAACTTCGTATAGACGAGGCTAGAGAGGCTACTATACAAACTCACTTTTCTCCCAAACTCCATGCTGAGCAATTTCTTGACGACTGGCGGTGCACTGAACAAGTAGAAATAGACACACAGCGCATTTACTCGCAAGGTTAACAAGGTTTACTCGTACGAGTGTTGAAACGATTTTAAAGTGTACCTAAATCACATTACTTGTGCAGAAAGTACTGTCGTTTTGTATTTATATTTTTTTCTTCATGTTGTATAGTGATGTTTTGTACTGTATTACTTAGAAATTTTATTATTTTAACTGCTCAACACTATTGCATCTATCAGATTTTTTCTCCATGAAAAATACTGTCTTCAGTACATGTATTTGTATTTGAATTACATGAAACAAAGATTTAATAATAATAATAAGGCTGAGTATCACACGCAGACATGAACACATACGCGCTATGATAACAGTATATGATAACAGATAATTTTTCTGACACACTGTTTCATGTGACCCGTGCTTATTTTACATTGTTATCGGCCCAAAACAAGCAACCAAGCAAAACTCGCATGGTGACTCGGTAGTTAAAGTTCGGGCACTGGTGGAGGGCAGGCGCTTCTACTAATAAAATCTGTGCTGATCCTCTATTTAGATAAGGAGGGCATTAAGCCATTAACACTATTCCTTACTTTCTATGTGACCGCACTATTCATGAACGTCCGTAACGGCCGCAACATTACTGCATCTGTACATCATTGACAGGAATCCGTGTGTTTCGGATCGTAGGGGACCCATGCGCAATAAACGCCAACCACAAATGCGTTGCTAAACCGAGAATGATCCCTTCTCGCCAGCATACGTAGTTAAGGACAGGTGGGGTCCAAGCCTAGTTTAGCAACCAAGATTAGTTTAGGACAATGCGAAAACATATTATCCGGAACTATCCTTGATCCACAGGTGGCGCCCCTACTCACTCGGCTAGCAGCGAGTTGTTCTTGAATTCGAATCGCGGGGCGGTCATGTCCACCAGCATCGTCTTATCCATCGGATCCCCAGACAGCCAGATGCTCCATGGACGATCTCGTGGTGCCCTGCCACAAGAGGGCGCCGTTGTGTGCACGCCACGACCTGAAACTGATGACCAGCATCATGGTGACCGAGCCAGTCATAGATTCTCGAGCCGATTGCTGTTTAAACTTTACGCTGTGGCTATCTGCCCGGCAGCCGGGCACGGTCTTCGATTTCCTAAATGCCCGGCAGTTCCTAACCCTAACCCTTGTTTACTTTTAAGATAACGCTGAAAATTAAAAACTGCCGAGCATTTAGGAAATCGAAGACCGTGCCCGGCAGCAGCAGCCGTCAGATATATGCCAGCTGCCGGGCATATATAGCCACTCTGTAAACTTTAAGTAGTTAATTTGATTAGGGTTAATTCTCGTGTGTGTTTCGGGCCTTTCTTACCTATTTCGAAACGTATTTATTATAAACCTTTATTATACAAATTACACAGACAATACCGGTACTCAGTTAGTATTAAGGCCTATACTTTATCATTTTAAACTTGATATATAGATTAATAGAAGACAAAGAAATTATCAAGTGTTTTACTTATACTACTGTTATAGTATAACTATAAGGGGTCACCTACCAGCAGTGACTGCAAGTGTTACTGTTAGATTCCCACTCACGGCGGCATTGAGTGAACTGTGCTGAGTGAACTGTTTGAGGTTTCTGCAGATATTTCCGCAGAACATTCGCGACGTCAAACTGCGAAGTGCCGACATCACACAGACGTAGCAGACGTAGCAGACGACCTCTGACCACCACGCGTCTACGTGTTTAGTAACAGAAACGATGTATTTTCTAACAAAATTTACGGTAAGCTATCACGAATTGCTCATGGGCGCCGCCATGTTTATTAAACGCAAAACAAGTGAACATTCTTAATAGTTCAGCCAGCTGGTGTCGGTCGCGGTAATATCGATCATTAGCCATGGCTTCTAGTTTAGTTAGTTTTGCAAGATATTGCACAAATAAAGAGATGCGTACTTATTTAATGAGGTGAGTGCTGTGAACTCGTGCGTTGTGCCCACGTGGTTGTGACTGTGTCTTAGTTAAACCGATCGAATTGTGCGTTCAAAAGTAAAATATTTTGTTTGTGTACACACAATTGACTTGTCAATGTCACTTCTCAAAGTCAAGAAGTACACACGTGACACTGTAGTCTACATGATGATGATACATCAGTTACAGTACATGTAATAATATTATTAACGTGATTAGGGGCCTACGTCAAATAGTAAAAGTAAAAAAATTCTGTTCACTTTTTCACAAAATGTAATTAATTCTGTTCACTTTTTATGGTTAAATTCCTGCATTATATATTTATACTTTCTATTTTACATGTACACTCGATGTAAACATACACTCGTAATAACTAATAAATGGGCAATTTTTTTTTTACAAATATACACCATAAAAAATTCGTGACGTAGGCTATAGTCAATTTAAATATGTATGCGGTTAGCTCGCACAAAGTAGACATGCGATTACCGTGTCGACAATCCCATGACGCACATGCAGGATTCATTCTGGTGGTCTCGCACCTCAGTTCTAAAACGACACAACACAAGTTCTCCTGTAGACAAGAAGTTTTCCTATCTGTCATTCAGTGGCGTATAGGCAACTCAGTTTTGGGGTCGCATATGCAGTTGCACTTCACAGTCACTTGAACTGACATTTCCATAATAAAATGATGGTAAATAAATGTAAGTTGTATTTGCTACCGAATTTTTAATGTTTATCTATTCGGTCGTCTAATAATTTCACGTCAAATCCATTCAAATGCTCCTCTGCAGCACATAAAACCCATCGCGCACACGTAACTGTACACAAACTCGCAGAAAAACAGGGAATAACAGAAAGAAAACATGATCTGTGAGTTTATGCAGAGTGAGTGCGTGTAGTGGAACTGTGTATTCTAGTATTCTAGAGGAGCGTTTCAATGCCTTTTGCATGGATTTATTAGGTGATAGAGAATAAATAATTATTGATACTTTGGGAGGGGAATACTGTTTTGGGGGGATACAATTTGTGTTTATTAGCCATCATTATATTATGGAAACAGCCCAAGTGTCTGTGTTTGGGGTGGGGTGCACAGCCCCACGCGGTTTGGGAACATTGTGTTCTGGGTAGTAAGTATACCGTGAACAATTCGCCAAGGCCACCATTAAAAAAATCTTTGTTTGCCCTCACCTGACCCAGGCTGAAAAGTTTGGTTAGGTAGGTAGGCTTTTTATATTTTGTTGAGGGGGGTCTTTTTACAAATTCAGCATGGTAGCCACATGCTTGGGTGTACTTGTGTGGAGATACCTTTTATGCTGAATGTTTGTTTTGCTTGGTACATATAATGTATTGCCTACAGATATATATAATGTACAGTGATACAATTTGTAAAAAAAAATATTTAAAAAAGAATGGGAAAGATCAATAAAAAAATTTGAGTTGTCCCCTTTTTGGCAGGTCAGTCGGGTGAGGGCAAACAAACAATATTTTTATTATTGCCTAAGGGAGGTGTGGGGACAGGTACTGCTTCCTTTGTTCTCCCACCCCTTGCTAGCTACAGCCCTGTCTTTATACTAATAATAGGCAGTAACAAAGTAAAATGTGTTTTTTTTCTTTTTCATTAACTACTGTCATTCGCCTGTGCTGTGACGTTCGTGGATTATCTCCGGCCATGGCCCCATGTAGTACGGTAAGTTTCTCGTAAGCTACCTCTTCACTAGTTACGCGTCTCTATAGTCTTAAGTCATTGTGCAGCAGCAAATTAGTGTGTTCTGAAAACAACTAAGGCTTTAAATACTGAGAGCTGAGACACCACTACTAGCACTCTTCTTGATGGGATTAGCATATGAAAGATGGTCATAAATACGATTTCTGGATGGATATTGGATAGATATGGAGATATTCGCTGGTCTACTTTATAAGACGGGTACCAGTATAACCATCATTATCCTAATCACCCAACCTATTCTATCTACTTCTAGACCTAATCATGACCCTGTGATGAATCCCTAACCTTATAATACGTAACCCTAACGGGTAACCCCATACGTGATCCTAATTGAACCATAACTTAGGCAGATGTATTGTTTGCTATATATTGATGATGATGATGATGACGATGATGATGATGATGATGATGATATGGTGATGGTGGTGGTGATGATGATGATGATGATGATGATGATGGTGGTGATGTTGATGATGATGATGATGATGATGATGATGATGATGATGGTGATGATGATGGACACCTATATAGTGAAGTATACCCAACCTTGTATATGCATGCGATTATGTGCTAACACTTCCTCCCCCCCTCACCTCCCCTCGTACGTTGCAGCATTTCTGGGGACCCGTGGCGAACTGGGGTCTCCCACTGGCCGCTCTGGCGGACATGAAGAAAGATCCGGCCATCATCAGTGGAAAGATGACGATAGGTATGTGGATCTTCTCCGCCCGCTTCCTCTAATCTTTATTACCATCTGGTAGAACACGTGTAGTATGAACAGGAGTGTCATAATATAGTCTATATTGTGACACTTCTGGTATGAAATCATGTGATCGAATGCTGGTCTCAAGAGAAAGAACTTCTAGAAGAGATGAGGATGAAGTGTACATGTCTTCGTGTATTTCCCCACTGGTTATTCCTTTAGTCTAGTAGGAAGGGGGGTCCCCATGCACCCGTACTTGTACTACACCCCAATTGTTCACCGATTTACTGTCAGACTCCCTAATTTTATATCAGCACCAAGCTAATGTTGGAATTCTGATATGAAAGATTGTGATTTAGAAATGATTGAAAACAGTACTGCCTATTGTATTGCTATATTGCATGTTTACTTTTGCTTTTTTATAGTTTACTTTTTATTGCTGGTTATTTACCTTTTATTTAGCTTCTATTGCTTGCTGTTTACCTGTTTTTGCTCCTTGTCTACCTGTTATTGTTCATTGTTTACCAGTAATTTCTCGTTGCTTACCTCTTATTGCACATTAATTACCTGTTATTGTTGACCGTTTACTTGTTATTGCTCATTGTTTACCTGTTTTCCCTCATTGTTTACTTTTTTCTGCTCGTTGTTTACCTTGCAGCTCTCAGCATCTACTCTCTGCTGTTTATGCGATTCGCGTGGAAGGTGATCCCGCGTAACATGTTGCTGCTCAGCTGTCACTTCACTAACGAGGGCGCACAGCTTGTGCAGGGCGGCCGATTCGTGCAGTACCAGTAAGTCCTACCTATGTTTCTCCCACCTTCAGTGCTACAGCACAGTGTGTAATTGCCATCATTGGTAACGCTCTGCCAGGAGTAGACCTCGGCAGCGCCCTCTACTGGTAGTGCAGGGCGGCCGATTCATGCAGTACCAGTAAGTCCTACCAATGTTTCACCTTCAGTGAGCATACTACATTCTACTGGTAGTAGTATATCCTGTCAATGCCCTCTGATGGTGCAGGGCGGTGGATTCGTGCCGTACCAGTAAGTCCTACCAATGTTTCACCTTCAGTGAGCATACTACATTCTACTGGTAGTAGTATATCCTGTCAATGCCCTCTGATGGTGCAGGGCGGTGGATTCGTGCCGTACCAGTAAGTCCTACCAATGTTTCACCTTCAGTGAGCATACTACATTCTACTGGTAGTAGTATATCCTGTCAATGCCCTCTGATGGTGCAGGGTGGCGGATTCGTGCAGTACCAGTAAGTCCTACCAATGTTTCACCTTCAGTGAGCATACTACATTCTACTGGTAGTAGTATATCCTGTCAATGCCCTCTGATGGTGCAGGGTGGCGGATTCGTGCAGTACCAGTAAGTCCTACCAATGTTTCACCTGTAGTGAGTATACTACATTCTACCGGTAGTAGTATATCCTGTCAATGCCCTCTGATGGTGCAGGGTGGCGGATTCGTGCAGTACCAG